AGAGAGAGAGAGAGAGAGAGAGAGAGAGAGAGAGAGAGAGAGAGAGAGAGAGAGAGAGAGAGAGAGAGAGAGAGAGAGAGAGAGAGAGAGAGAGAGAGAGAGAGAGAGAGAGAGAGAGAGAGAGAGAGAGAGAGAGAGAGAGAGAGAGAGAGAGAGAGAGAGAGAGAGAGAGAGAGAGAGAGAGAGAGAGAGAGAGAGAGAGAGAGAGAGAGAGAGAGAGAGAGAGAGAGAGAGAGAGAGAGAGAGAGAGAGAGAGAGAGAGAGAGAGAGAGAGAGAGAGAGAGAGAGAGAGAGAGAGAGAGAGAGAGAGAGAGAGAGAGAGAGAGAGAGAGAGAGAGAGAGAGAGAGAGAGAGAGAGAGAGAGAGAGAGAGAGAGAGAGATAGATAGATAGAGAGAGAGAGAGAGAGAGAGAGAGAGAGAGAGAGAGAGAGAGAGAGAGAGAGAGAGAGAGAGAGAGAGAGAGAGAGAGAGAGAGAGAGAGAGAGAGAGAGAGAGAGAGAGAGAGAGAGAGAGAGAGAGAGAGAGAGAGAGAGAGAGAGAGAGAGAGAGAGAGAGAGAGAGAGAGAGAGAGAGAGAGAGAGGGGGAGAGAGATAGAAAGAGAGAGGGTAGATAGAGAGAGAGAGAGAGAGAGGAAAAGGTATGTATATAGATAAGTAGTTGGGCAGGTAGATAGATAGACAGACATATGGATAATGGGGATAGAGAAAGAGAGAGAAAGACAGTCAGAGCCAGAGACACACAGACAAACAAAGAGACAGACAGATACATAAACAAACAAACAAACACGGAGACAAACCAAAAGCGATACTTAGGAAGAGCGAGAAAATCAGAAAAGATGATACCATAGAGAGAAAGAACAATATCTAACGTAGGGCTCCCAATGCCATTCATTATGCAAGAGACCACACCACCACAGCCAAGGTTATTCGTAAGATAAAACTACCATATCGGTCCATAAACCAGATGGCGTTGGAGTGATATTTACCCAAGAAATAATACACATTTCACCGTTATCGATCAATAATCTACATTCCATTTATTAATCTGCGGTTGGTAATTTGTCATTAAAAGGGTCGGGGATTGAACCAGTAATAAATTTTGTTTTTTTATTCTATTTTTATGTGCACTCTCCGCTGCGAAGTTATTTCAGTGGTTCTTAGAGTAAAGTGTATTCTCGTACATTTGCTGTTGCTACTGTTTTGCACAACTTCCATGCTTGTTTGTTTGTTTGTTTGTTTTCTTTTATATGCTGAATTATAATAATCTGCTGTTCTTTTTAAGGAAAGGCAGATGGTATTAAATCCATCTATTTGGTTGGAGTCACTGCTTTAACATCTAATAGATTGAGGAAAAGCGATGATAAATGCATTTAAGAAGGAATAAATCTCATTTTAAAGATACATTTATTTTTAATTCATGTCCCTCGAAGTGTCATAATGAAGGCAGGCAAGCGAAGTGATAGTGGTAATATTGATAACAGTAATGATAAGGATGATAATGATAAAGGATGGTAATAACAGGAATTAGCATATGATTATAATTTTCTTAATTTCTATTGTTTACCGCAAATAATAACAATAATGATGAAATAGAAACAATTGGGCTAGCTTTTAACATATGGTATGTTGCTTTATAAATTACTTGCAATTATTTTTCTTTCTTTTTATTTCTTTTCCTTACTCCTCTCTCTCTCTCTCTCTCTCTCTCTCTCTCTCTCTCTCTCTCTCTCTCTCTCTCTCTCTCTCTCTCTCTCTCTCTCTCTCTCTCTCTCTCTCTTTGACTACCCATCTATTTTTTTCTCTATCTACATCGATATATCTTTCTATATACATCTATCTATCTATTTATCTCTATCTACATTTACATTTCTTTCTACATACATCTATTTTCCTTACTCCTCTCTCTCTCTCTCTCTCTCTCTCTCTCTCTCTCTCTCTCTCTCTCTCTCTCTCTCTCTCTCTCTCTCTCTCTCTCTCTCTCTCTCTCTCTCTCTCTCTTTGACTACCCATCTATTTTTTTCTCTATCTACATCGATATATCTTTCTATATACATCTATCTATCTATTTATCTCTATCTACATTTACATTTCTTTCTACATACATCTATCTGTCTGTTTATTTATCTCTATCTATCTACCTTTCTATCTCTTCAAATCTTTGTATCTGTCCAGCCATCCATACAATTTTCAACAATACACATACGCTCGCAGATAGATAAGTAGATAGATGCAATATAACTATTTTTAGGAAATTATATTTTAAATTTAAAACCTTTCTTCTTAGAACTTATTTCGCAAAAAACTTTCGACATAGAGTCAGAATATATGTATAGAAGAAGTGGTCGTTTCTGATGATATATATAGCGTGATCATTATTTTTTTATGTATTGCTTCATGTCATTATTATAGCTGTTCTTGCTATGTGAGGGATCAGTCGTTTCGTTATATGTGTGTCAAGATACTTTTATGATTTGTGTATGGATGATTGCTTGCTTATAGTCTTCTCTGTTTGTCTGTTCATTTGTTCGTTCTTGTGCGTGTATTTCGTTATTTTATGTTTATGTTTGTTTGTTTGTAGGTTTCTATATTTATTTATTCATTTATTAGTTCTTATATTCATCCTAGGAGCGTGGAAATGAAGACTAAATAATGGGTGTTTTATGATAATTGAATATTTATTGTATAGTAGTACAGGTATATCATATAATTATATACGCGACGTTGTACGATATACATTATATAGTGTTGCATTGTATAAAGACATAATCAATACAAAATACAGTGACATGCAATATGTACAATGTGCAGATATTTGCATGATATATGATATAAAAAATCTATACAACACATTAATATACAATAAATTAATGTTAGGTCCTCGTTATCACCAGGTTACCTGCTTGCTCAAAATTCTAAAATAATAATAATAATAATAACAATTTATAGGGGACTACATAACTCGTTTCTAAAATAATGCATATCTGTACCTGTGTGCAATGTTGTTATCCTTAAACAATTACAGAAATAAAAATAACTGAAATAAAGATTGTGTGATTACACTATTTCTTAATTTTGTAATTAGTGTCTAAAATCTGCAAGGTGCTATTTTTTCACACCAAACTAGAGTTCGAATCGTGTTTGTATGTGGCCATGATTTTTGGTAATTTTGTCTGTGCCACAAAGAAAAGCTCGCAACATTCTTTAAAGATCAAGTTTCTTTTTTTTTCAAGGAATATCCTCCCGACCATCGGCAGTAAGTCACAACTTGACATTTCTATTTAAAAACAAAACATGTAATTTAAGAATGTGACTAGGATTAACCTATTAACTGTAATTTTTACATTTTTTCCCCCTAAGTCCATCATTTACATCATAAAGGAGTAACTTTAAATCCTCAGTCATAATTTATATGTTGCTTAGAAAACATTGCAAATTACTATATATATATATATATATATATATATATATATATATATATATAAAGTAAACAATTAGAATGTCATTATGTAAATCTAAAAAAATAACAAAAAACGACGACTCATATACGAAGATAGATTTTTCTTCCGCTTGCCATAAACCGAGAAATAAATCCCCCTTTATAAACAAGTGTAAGCTTATTGAACAAAAGCCATCAATCAAGGAGTGCTCCGAAGGGTATTTAATGTGGCCCACACACACAGTCGAACTTGTGTGATCAAATAAGGTGTTTTATCGATCATCAAATGACGCCACACATCTTAAGAAAAAGAGTTGAAAGGCATAACATCCAGTGGTGGAAGGAGCACAATCACTTAATAGTAGTAGTAGTAATAGTTGTAATAACAGGATGACAACGATAATGATCATGGTATTTATAATGACAATAATAATGATGATAACATCAAATGATAATAATAACGATTACAAAACAACGGTACAAGTGATGAAAATAATACCAAGAAGTATAATGATAATGACTCCTATCCATACCAGCTCTCGTCCTGTTCATACGCCACGGTTGCTGCTTATTTGACCAAACGTCGTCACGCAGCCTCAATTTGCAAGCGTCATGATGGACGAGAAAGTTATCAAACTTGCTTAATATGTCGAACGTGCTGGTCATACCTTCAAACTAAACTTCACGCATTTCATTTTATACTACCTCTTGTTAGTTATTCGGTCCAGTTCTATAGGATTATATACATGGAAATAACTGTATAATTGAATGATTTGATATATCCGAAACAAAAACTTTACAAGTTACTATTCTTCATTACCGACCAAATAAAAAGTTATCAGGGACATAAAAAACAACACACTCAATTATGAGCACTTAATTCTGAGACAAAAACAAAACAGTAAATTCTGAGACTCTTTGTTCTCAAGTATCTAAAGCGTTCAAAATGGTTCGAGGAAAATATAAGAATTTAAAATAGGATGTCCCTGTTCTCTACCTATATCGTACAGAATAAAAATGACGGGAAAACAACCAACATTTAGTTAATTATATTCATTTTACAGTAATGCTTAATTACTGTTAAACATTACTGCTCCTTGCAAATAACTAAAAGCATCAGCAATAGCGGTGGCAATTATAGTAATGATAGTAATATGTAATTATTAACGGACATATCTAATATTCATAAGCAAAGCCTCATCAGACAAATGGTGTTCGAATCGGTTTGATACGCCATTTAATTTATTATTCACTCTATTAGTCTCTAACATGGACCAACCACGATAGGCTTATGGAGATGTGCCTACATTTGTCGCAGGAATAGCTGACAATAGAATATTATTGTTTTTTTTTTCCGGAAATAGTAATAGCAGTGATAATATTAGTAGTAGCAGTAGCATCTTTATAGTTGTTATCATTATCATTGATATCATTTTCATTACAAGTATTCATATTGTTATAATCATAAATGTTGATAGTAATAATATTGTAATTATATATAGTAATTGTGTCAATATAACCGTAATTGATATTTAGAACAGCAATAACATTACAGACTATGCTAACCACCCATTTATTTTCCACAGGTACACTTTGGGCTTCACGGTAGCCCAACAAAAGAAGAATGCACTTTCAACTTTAACCCAGCATGGCCTCAGGAATCTTGAAACAAATATAAGAGGAAGATATTTATTTCTCGTTATATATTGGAAAGTTTCTCTTTGTCTGTGCAAGCATGTGGGCACGAATGAAGTTAACAGACACAAAATCAAGCTGAAAGAAAGACAAGACATATAACAATAATAAAACCTGCCCTCAATTAACGCATATAGATAAACAAAGAGAATAAGCATTATACAGATAGAGGAAGAACAGACGTAAAATAAAAGAAATAAGGAAAAAAGGTGAAGAAAAGGGAAGGAAAAATACGTAAATAAGAAGAACTGAAGGCAAATCAAGCACAATGGGAGGGACATTTGGCAAGCATGGATCGTGGGTGGTCGACCACTCTATGGATGACATTCCCCTTCACAATATGGGCGGGGACACGAGGCACGGGTCCATCGCTACTATTACGGGCGGGTGAGTGGGATGCGTTCATGGTGTGTTAGGGTATGTATGATTTTTTTTTCTTTTTTTTTTCTCTCTCTCTCTGACTATCTATCTCCCTTCTCTCTCTTCTCTCTCTGTTCTCTCTCTATTTATCTATATTCCTTCTCTCTCTTCGCTCTTTCTCTCTCTGTCTATCTCTTTCTCTATCTATCTATCACCCTTCTCTCTCTTCTCTCTATCTATTCATTCATCTTTCTCTGTCTCTATCTATCTATCTATCTCTATCTGTCTATCTATTTCTCTCCCTCTCTCTCTCTCTCACTCTCTCTCTCTCTCTCTCTCTCTCTCTCTCTCTCTCTCTCTCTCTCTCTCTCTCTCTCTCTCTCTCTCTCTCTCTCTCTCTCTCCCTGTCTACCCATCTATTTTTTTCTCTATCTACATCTATATATCTTTCTATCTACATCTATATTTCCCCCTCGGATACTTCACCCTCCACCTCTTACTCAATACATGGCCCTCGACCTCTCTCGTTCTCCCACAGTATCTTAAGTGTCACCTTACACACCTCGCACTTGCGTACGCCCTCAACCTCCCAACTCAGCTTTACTGCACCCTTCACCACACACCTCCTCCACCTCACCCTCGACCTCCTCCTAACCCTCCACTTCCACCTCACCCTCAACCTCCACCTCACCCTCGACCTATACCTCACCCTCCACTTCTTCCACCTCACCCTCAACCTCAACCTCCACCTCACCCTCGACCTCCTCCTCGCAGGGACACGACGCCGGACGACTACACGTTCGTCCTCGAAACAGCAGCGGAGAGAAAAGCCCGAAAGAGATCGCATTGGGTCGCTTATACCACTATGTTCGTCATGTCCATCGGCTTTTCTATCGTTCTGAGTGGTGTTTGGCCGTATCTGAGTGAGGTGGGTGTTCTTAGCAGTGTTGTTGCCTCTTTTGCAACAACTGTTATATATCATCTCCTCAGTGTCTGATATAACCTTTACAGTTCATACTACTCATATTTTTCTCACAGATTTAATTCTTCAAACTTGTATCGATTAGTTAAGATAAATGCGAGGAAAAGTTTACGACTTTTTAGAGAATTTACACATTATTTATTAACTGAAAAAAAATATAGAGCCAAATTGTAAAGCCAATCACATTAATTGATATGCCAACATCTGAGTTCATTATAATCCAATACAATAATTATACCATATTGAATATCCATCTTTTAGTTTTAACAAATAGCTTGCCACTTTACTCTAAATGTTAACATGCAAGCAACTATATAATGTCAATTTAAGCAAGCTGTTATCAATTATGAAATTAGAGCAAACATTGTCAATGCCTAAAATTGATATAAGCAATAAGTAAAAGAATTCATTTCTCCACATGCAATAATTGAAACCATAAAAATATTAGTAAACAAATAGAATTACAGAAAATAGTGAAAATTATATTGAAGCAAGATGAACTACTTATACCAAGCAATTTAAAATACTAAGTTGATATCTTTACACAATTACTAACTTAAACTTAAGATTATCTCCATTAAGAAATAAATGAATACACTTCAAAAATAGACAGAAAATATCTTATACTTAAGCAGACAATCATAATACTAAATTAATCTCGTTAAGCAGTAACTAAATCAAGCAAAACTTATCCTAGAAAATACTTAATTGATACATACATTATGCAAACACAAAATTATTCTTACGCTCCACTGGAAATTAATTATTTTCATCACTGTTAAATCCCACTTCCGTAGAGCTGAGATCTCTTAAAAGTAATTCATTAATTCCTTACATTCTAAACTAAATTAATAAATTACACTTAAAATTCAAATCAATATGTATTCAATTATATCATTCTTCAAACTTGACAATCAAATCTATAATTATTCCATTATATAATTCTTACTTCTAAAATTAACTTAATCAAATACAATTCTTGGTCCATTATATAGCCACACATAAATCAAGAAATAATCCCTAATTCTACTTAATCCACATTATCCAGAGCACATTTCCGTCCACTATGTTCCCTCAAGATATGGTATTAAATCACTTCAACCGAGCTTACCAAAATGTGCCACCAAAATGACATGGCTACTGGATGCTACTCCGAAATCTAATCCGCCGTTTGTCTGTCACTAACCGTCTTTTATTCTCGATATGGGAGCCCATCTGGCCACACCCATAACAGTTAT